AAAAATTTATGGTTTTCGTAATTTTTCCTTTATCTATGCTATAAGACGTTGCTTCGTACCAAATTTCAAGATTCTGAGTTCACGGGAAGCACCCTGTAGGTTTTGAATCCCTTGCAAGTGTAAAAAAATTATCCGAAAATTTACGGCATAAACGGCTGTATCTTTTGATTGCGTTGGCTTAGAAGTTTGATTTTTTTACAGCTTCAAGGGAGAGTAGACCTGAGTAATTGATATAAATTTCGCGTGTGTTCGTCCAGCGGAATGTTGTTGAATTTAAAGATTTTAATTATGCAGATATTTAGTGTATGACGTCGTTTAATTGTGTATGGTAAAAAAAAAATTGTGCACGCAACCATTGTGGAGCAATTCACCAAAAACTGATTCCGCTGGGCGAACGTTGTCCTGGCGGAACTTTTTTTAATCCATAGACTTTAGAAGAAAAGAGATGTATCCAAAAATTAGTGTGTATTTGTGTGTAATTGTGTATGTATGAATAAAACTAGTGCATGCATAAACTTCGGAGAAATTCAAGTTTCCGCTACGCGAACGTTTGGCCATTAGCTAGTTTTCATATAAAGCGCTTACATATAGAGCTGTAGATTTTTACATACGTTGTTTTGAATTTGTGTATATTTGTTTAAAAAACAGATTTAGAAAAAATCGTAGGGTTTAAAAGATAAAAATATAAACGTAAAATACGCTTATTAGGTCTTAGTTCTTAAAGTATGCACTTTAGGGTCTAGATTTTCACGTTTATACAAACCTTGTAAGTGTCTGCAACATGTTGCCAAGTATCAATGATGTTCCGTTAGTAATTAAATAGTTATAGGACAAATTTACCATGAATAGATCACCGTTTACAAAGCAGTCAAATATCACGACGTTCTAAATGAATTGCATGGTAAAATGTATGCCAATAATTAGTGTATTCATTCAACTATTCACATGCAAAATTTCATGTCATTAAATTCAGTAATTAAAGAAAAACAATTATAATACTGACGAAGCATCGAAAACCTACATAACCCGACCAAGTTCGGATGGCTACAAAAAAGCGGCCGTGCCATATATCTAAGAAACATTCTTAACTTTCCAATATAGCATTTATTAATATGGTACAGTATCGTACACAAGAGTTAGGAAAAAATAAAACACAGTATCGTACACACGCTCGTGCATGCCTCTATTGGTTAAATAGTGTAATAAAAAATATAGGTTAAATAGTGTAATAAGCTACAATATGATAAATATTTACCTAAACAGTAGTACTTAAGTACTTACATGTGGTAAATATTTAATTTCCCTAAGGGGTCTATAGTTAGAATCCTGATCCGTGAAATCTTCAATAGAAATTAGCTGTATGAATTTTATTTGTCTTAAATTTAATTAGATTATATCTCAAGTCTCAAGCGCATACTTAAATAAAGTACCTACGTAAATAGTATCTACTTTCTGTCATAGTCAAATACATTTAAAAAAGTAGGTGTCCAAAAATAAATGACCTATAAATTATTTCGAAACAACAAGTGTGTTCAGTGTTATCACCTGTACCAATTCAATACCGGTATTATACTGTAAATTTTGGGATGTTACCTAAATATATTGAACAGCCGCTTTTTTGTAGCCATCCGTACTTGGTCGGGTTATGTAGGTTTTCGATGCTTCGTCAGTATTATAATTGTTTTTCTTTAATTACTGAATTTAATGACATGAAATTTTGCATGTGAATAGTTGAATGAATACACTAATTACTGGCATACATTTTACCATGCAATTCATTTAGAACGTCGTGATATTTGACTGCTTTGTAAACAGTGATCTGTTCATGGTAAATTTGTCCTATAACTATTTAATTACTTACGGAACATCATTGATTCTTGGCAACATGTTGCAGACACTTACAAGGTACAAACCTTGTAAGTGTCTGCAACATGTGATAAACGTGAAAATCTAGACCCTAAAGTGCATACTTTAAGAACTAAGACCTAATAAGCGTATTTTACGTTTATATTTTTATCTTTTAAACCCTACGATTTTTTCTAAATCTGTTTTTTAAACAAATATACACAAATTCAAAACAACGTATGTAAAAATCTACAGCTCTCTATGTAAGCGCTTTATATGAAAACTAGCTAATGGCCAAACGTTCGCGTAGCGGAAACTTGAATTTCTCCGAAGTTTATGCATGCACTAGTTTTATTCATACATACACAATTACACACAAATACACACTAATTTTTGGATACATCTCTTTTCTTCTAAAGTCTATGGATTAAAAAAAGTTCCGCCAGGACAACGTTCGCCCAGCGGAATCAGTTTTTGGTGAATTTCTCCACAATGGTTGCGTGCACAAATTTTTTTTTACCATACACAATTATACGACGTCGTACACTAAATATCTGCATAATTAAAATCTTTAAATTCAACAACATTCCGCTGCACGAACGCACGCATAAATTTCAGCTTCATACCTCCACGCGTTCCTGAGAAAAAGGGTCTTGACAGACGGACAGACGGACAACAAAGTGATCCTATAAGGGTTCCGTTTTTTCCTATTGAACCCTAAAAATAGGTATTGAGTTCTGTAAAACTAAAATTACTTATTTATACATTTGATTTTTCTAATTATTTTATAAAATTGTATCAGGGCATTAAATTGACGTACTCACCTCAAGATTCGTCAGACCACACAACATTTGACCAATCTTCAGCGGTGAAAGTTCGGTGTTTTAAGGCCCATTCATACCGACCGAGCTATTTTATTGTTGTCGGAGAGCCATGGCTTCTTCCCAGCCAGCTTCTTGAATCCTTCTACGAGTAGTCTGAGCAGAAATTGGTTTCTTAATTTGTTCTGACAACTCAGCAGTAAGCTCGGATGATGTTTTTTTCCTATTTCTTAATGACTCTTACAGTAACTGACGATCCTGTCGGTCTGTAGTGATGCGTTTGCACACGGTTCTTGGTCTATTTACATGTGATCCGGTAGCAGAAAATCGCTGAATAGCATATTGCACGGATCTACGCGAACATTTTTACAGTTTTGGAAATCTCTACTTGCGATTTCCCTTGCTCATACAGAAGCTGTATCTGCACACGTTTTTCTAAAGAAAGTTCGTTTTGTTTAGGCATTTTGCAACGACAACGCTAAAAACTTCCCAAATAAAATACAAAAGGCGCAGTAGATAACTGAATGTGTTCACAACGAGCGATGGTAGCACAGAGTACTATAATATAAAAAGGAATAGATGGTAGCCAACTGATAAATAAATACAAAAATTGTAAAACACACATTTTATTGCACTCAGGTGTTTTGTTGCTAGCTGCGGCGTGAGTCATTGTTTTTAAACCTTTGTAGATGACCGACAAAAGAATTCTTCAACAATAGATTTGGTTTTCTCCCACACTTACCGTGAATTAGCGAAATTTGTAAGGTGCTCAATACTTTTGGCCAAGGCATAGTGTATAAAGACCATATCGATGAAGACCAACCGGCATTTGAATTGTTTTAAAGTCACAATAACTATTAAACTATTAACGAAAAACACACATTCGATTAAATTATACCCATGTCGCATTTTCTTAGCTTTAAGTATAATTAAAACTAAAAGTAAAGGACGCAATTTCGAACCCCGAGGAACTCGGTGTACCGTTTACGTGAGTGACCCTTTAGCCTTTTTTCTAGCTAACATTCCAACAGACGAAAGTGGATCTAATTTCAGCAAGTGCTTCATGATCTTTCTGTACAATCAAACGTTTTTAAGACGTAGACACCAACAGCATCCAAGCTTTCGGGATGTCGTATTGTTCTTGGTGAAAACTATGTAGAAGTTTTATTAAAATAATGAAGTATCTAAGATAGCATCAAGAAGAATATGATGTTACATAATGATGAAATTGGTACCTAGGTAAGTGGAGACTCGTACTGTATGTATGCTGTATGGATTTTATGCCATCAGTCATCTTGGAGTCTTTAGTTTCAAGCAGTTAAGTCACTAATAGTAACTTATTTTATGTCAGGAAGTGAGTTGCCCAACTGTGTACTGTGAAAATAAAATCAAGTAAACTAAGAACCGGGTGCTTTATTCATACAAGGTGTCAGAAGAATATTACAGAATATGATACTTACCACAAATATCATATGGGTAAAGAATATAAAAAGATTACAGGCATTTTAGGTTCTGGCAGGAAACTGGTAATTGCTGCCTTAGTGAATAAGTCATAAATACGCAAAGTATCGCAATATGTCCACAGGTCGTAGCGAATAAACTACTGGCGTTCTTGCAATATGATATCTTGCCGGTGTAATAGGATCAAGAAGAGCATCCAGAATATCATCACACTACTAAAGAAGACTGACGCAGGGCCCACTGTGTGGCGAAGAATCTCTATAAGCTTAAAGAACTTATTAGGGTTGGGCCTCATCTGGCAGCACGGAATCGCATTTGTTCTGCCTGTGCTACCACGTGCTGCAGTATGCTGCCGCATGCGAACGCTCGCTATCGCATTCCGCAGACAAAAAAGGCGATCGCACAAAAAGGTAAAAGGTTACGTTAGCATGCTGTCGCATGCTTCAGAGTTCTGGAGTCTTCCTGCCGACCATTGCATTTTGTCCGTGATGCCGATCGCCTCGACAATTCCTCCGCGTGCTATCGCTTTATACTTTCTGTCTCAGTCTAGCAAATGGCAGTTTTAAGCGACAGAAAGGGAAAGGGTGACGGAAAAAGGCGACTCCATGCTGTCAGATGTGGTCCAACCCTTAACATGTTCGATCACGTCGCCAGCGCCGTGACGAACCATAGAGGAAGAGGAGGACATAGTTGTTGCCTCAAGTCTAGGCTGGAAAATGTACTATATACTTAAAAAATGGGTGTAATACCTATTAAAATGTTAACGACCTCATGACAATCAACAAGGGTTTAGGCCCAAATTGGTTAAAGGTATTGCTATTTTTGTGTACTAAAATAATAAAAAATATTCATCATTTAAAATATTTTAATTTTCTCTACATACAAACCGTCTCTGGATTTCCACAACTAATTCATGACCAAAATAAGCCTAATTGATAATGGCATTGTTGAGTTATTTACAACGAAGTGGTGATTTTTATAATTATATAGGGCTTGAATACTACTATAAAATAAAACTAAAGTATTTAGTTACATACACTAATTTTATGTTCGCAATTTGAAAATAACCCATGCAAGCAACCATTTTCTTTTTAGGGAAGTGGGTAAGACAGAAAAGGTATTGTCTATCTGACTCCTGGTTTTAAGCTACCTCCCTACCAATCTTATAGCTATATTACTTCAGATGTTTTCAAGTTACAAATAGAGTAACTTTCTTTTATATAGATTGTTAAGTTACTTTTATTAGTTAATTTTTCCTTTAACTCTTTCTTGCACCAGCCATTTTATACATCATCATTCCTTGTGTGTATTAATTCATCAAACCCAAAGCGACCAGCATTCACCCACCCATTGCTCTTCTATTGTGTCTCGAATTGCCTTGATTGTAAGGTTAAATAGAGGTATAAGAATATAATTTCATAATTCATAACAAAACTTTATTTTAAGCTTTCTAAACTGTTAATAATTTTCAACAACATGTCTTTATTGGCCTCATACAAAATCTTATTTTGTTTTCCAGTTTTATTTAATGTTGTCATAACTAATTGTAATAAGGGGTACTTCATTGTTTTCAATTCACTTGTACCAAGGACCAATTTTACAATCCAATCATAGCCAAGAACAGTTTCACAGTAACTGCTGTTGAAGTGATTGTAAGCTGAGTAAAGAACACTTGACTTATTTTCTTCTAATAGGTCTTGAAAGTATTCAACTTTGTCAACAGCCCAGTCTTTACTTTTAATCACATCTTTAATTTTTTCCAAGTCAAAATTACAATCTGAAATTATTGAGATCAATTCCTGTTTTGCTAAATGAACTATATCAGCTTCTATGTATGGCATTGTTGATGTGGTTCCTGAGTAATATAAATTAGCCAAGATTTGTTGAGATACCTGAAACCATAGAAAATAATGATGTAGCTAAATTTTTAGTAAAATTGTATAGCACACAGTCCTCAAAATGTGTGTAGATTACACTATTGTTACACCTCCCAGTGTGGCAGACAAGAAGTTTTTTGATATATTAACCAATTAATTAAAACCAAAATTTTACCAATAGTGATGCTATGACACTTTTTCAGCATAGAAGAAAGAAAATTACCTATAGAATTTTCCTAAACTATCGTGATATCATATTGATGTAAACAATCTTGTTTTACGCTGATAAAATGCTCAAGGTTTACAAATTTACTTACATTTCGGAAAAATTCAGATGATTCTATTTGAAATATCTTATCCATTTATTAGTTTTTTTAAATTAATATAAATTTATTTCTATTTCTATTATGGATAAACGTTGTAACTTTATTACATTAGCATCAAAAAAACAAATTGACAATTGACAATAACCAAAAACGTCAATTTAGTTTGTGACATTTGACAGTTACATTTTAATAATATGTTTTTTCGTTGGCAACTCAGATAATATTTTTATGTTTCATAATCTGAGTCTTCTTAGTAATCATAACAACATCAAGTAATAACAATGTTTTTTTTGTCGTCATTCAAATTACTCTTACAGACTAAAAGCCCCCGCCCCCGTCCCTTCCCCTATTTTGAGCCGAGGCCGCGGTGCTACATTGCGCCTACCCCGCAACCCCGGCAGTAGCAATGGGGTAAAACTACAATTTTATATACTATATATTGTACAATTTTATACCGTAAGATATTGCAAAAATCAAGGGAGAAAAAATTGCCAAGGGCCCAAAAGTTCCATAAGTTTTAAAAACGAAGTGGAAAACTATAACAACCGATATTTATTATTATATAATTATTATTTAACACTAGATACCAGTGCGGGTCGGGTTGTACGGCAACAGCTTTAAAGTGGGTTACAAATGAGGTGAAAGGTAGTGATTTCGACGATGAGTTTAATCTGACTAAAATTGCTGCTACCGGTGGTATCTCGAGGACTATGCACGAGGAATTGGATGAGCCTTCGGCTCGCATCGTAAATTCGATTGAGTGCGCAATGGACGATATCATCACCTCTATTGATTTTGATGGGCGAGAGGACTTAGGCAGTTTCCAGGCGTGCGACGGCATCGCACAACGGACATCGCGCGATCTATTAGGACACCTGTTACGTCATCGTACGACCACTTTGGTCGGGCGATGAAAAACGCATCGCCCATTGTATGACCGCTCGCAATTAGGTCTACGCCTTTCATAGACAGTGAAGACGGAAACTTCAAAAAATCTTCGGGTAACATAAGTTCGTAATTTTAAAATTGACATTATTCAGCAGGATTAAAAATAATGACAAAAAAAAAACAAATGTAGTCTATCATGGTAAAACATTTTAATTAATTACACATTGAAACAAATTTTCTCTTAAATTACTCAATAGGCACAAAAGTGAAGACTAACCTAATTATGCTAGAATCTGCCTTCTTGAAACTGGGCAACTTTTTACAAATTGTACACAATTGTACATGGTAAATTATGTACACAGTATATTCACAGATGAACAATAAGTGTTTATTTATAATCATAAATCATAAAATAAAATCGTGCATTTTTATGTCAATAAGAATAAAATTGAATTTCTTTCAAATAATAAAAAAATTAACAAAACATTATCTCATTATTATCATTATTTAAGTGATGTATCCAAGTTTTTATAGGCAAAAATTTTAATGATTTGTCACAATCACAGTAAAATGTTTAAAAACTTTAACAATAAGTAGGTACATATTATTTTATTTAAGCACATCAACGCAGTTTAGTAACAAGTTAAAAAACGAGGACAGTGTGGACAGCTTAGTCACACAGTTGTCTCCATCATCATGTTTTCGATTTGATTTTGGTGCCTTTGGTGGCGGTGTGGGTATGGGTGGCGACAACCAACTACATAATCTCGTGTTTCGATACGAGGTTTATTACAACGCAAAAATGTATGGAAACCATTCATTTGTTAAAACAAACTTACGTATTCATTATATTGTATGCTAACATATCTAATAAGATATAAAATCATTGACAGTTAAAAAACAAAGTTCAATTTATTTTTCCATTGTGGGGTCAGAGACAAATTCAATAAATAAGGGACCATGAAAATGTATTCAGTTGTTCTACAGTTTTTACAGATTGATAAGAACTAAATAGATCATATTCTTTGTTTTGAAACAAAAGTAATGACTTTTCCCCGTTTTAGATTCGTGAATAATTTCACAAACTCAATATTTATTATGTATGTATATGGATGTTGAACAGATATTAGATATAATTTTGAACTTGTCCATAAAAACACTAAACAAGAATACTAAAAAAAAGTATGTTGCCTGGTAACTTGTAAAGTATTTTTTTTGTAAATTATTCGTCTTAAATTTTATAATTAAATACTTAAGCTTAATTTTCTAAAAATAAAATAAAAAAATTAAGTATCAAAATTAAGTTGAAAAGTGATCAATTTGAATATTTAAAACAAGAGTATTCCTAATAATTAATGTGGATTGATTCTTTAAATCTAAGTTAGAATTTGAAAATGAGATAGAAATTAATACTAAAACATTTCTTAAGCAAGATGTTGGAATTTAAATATTGCGGCCAAGCAGACTTACTTCAAATAGAAATTCCTTCTTAAGGACATTAGTAATATTGTCATTTTGTTGACACACTGAATTTAGACAACTCGTGGTATAAAATGTAACATAATGTAGTGTTAATGATTGAACACATTCAGAGGAATAGGTTAGATCCGATTCGGAATACACTATATATTTTTATGTACGGTATTTGAACTCTCGGTCTGTGTGTACGAGTTACAATATATAATACATTCACAAATCGTAATCACCCTTTGATTTATTAAATGAGGAATAATTTGAGCTTATCTTAATAATTACATACCACTAGCTACTATAGCAGAAACTCATAAAAATCTCACCCTGTCATATGCTTAAGTACTATTATTTCGATATTTTTATAGCTCTTATCAATTTATTTGTAACTGTGATGAGTTGTAAATGCTTTAATTTTATTATTTTACTATTTGCTTAAACTTAATAATGGAGAGGTATAAAATGCATTAACTTTCTACCCATAACATCGACGGTTGTCCATATACTTAGTGGCAGCAAGAATTGAGTTGAGCACAGGTTACACACAAGTAATAGACAATACTGACCCAGTGCCGAGCCACTAAACAGTTTGATGGCGTGGTAACATTAGTAACGCAACTAATAGTAGATGTAATTGTAAAAGATAGTACTTTCTATGCATTACACTAAAACATTGAACAGAATCTGTGTCGATATCGTCTATCACGAGGAGCTGAGTCTCAATACTCACAATTCACTATTAGGAACCCATAACTTAGTGAATTTTGAGTACATTAAATTAATTTACTAGGCCAGCATCCTTGGCCATACTATAGAATATAGAGTTCTTATCTTGTAACAGTTGTTCAGGTGGCGCATATTCGACGAGTTGTCCCTTGTCGAGGACCATGACCTTGGTGGAGTCCATGATGGTGTTGAGGCGATGCGCGATGGTGAGCACCGTGCACGACGCGAACTCGGAGCGGATGGTCTTCTGGATGAGCTCGTCCGTCTCCAGGTCCACGGCGGCCGTGGCCTCGTCCAGTACCAGCAGTGGAGTCTTGCGCAGCAGGGCGCGCGCCAGGCAGACCAGCTGGCGCTGCCCCACCGACAGGTTCTCGCCGCCCTCCGCCACCTCGTGGCGCAGCCCCGCCGGGAGCCCTGCAACGGACCCTGCTGTACTCGTCTGTCCGAAGGAAGACGCGAGACTGCGGACTACGGTACTCACCCTGCACGAACGGCTTCAGATGCGCGTACTCCAGCGCGCGCCAGATGTCCTCGTCCGAGAAGGCCTCGAAGGGGTCGAGGTTCATGCGCAGCGTGCCGGAGAAGAGCACGGGGTCCTGCGGGATGATGGTGATGCGCGAGCGCAGCTGGTGCAGGCCCATGGCGGCGATGTCGAGGCCGTCGATGAGGATGCGCCCCCCCACGGCCTCCACGATGCGGAAGAGCCCCAGCGTGAGCGTGGACTTGCCGGCGCCGGTGCGGCCCACGATGCCCAGCTTGTCGCGCGGCGCCACGGCGCACGTGACGTCGCGCAGCGCGGGCTCGGCGCCGGCGCGGTACGCCAGCGTCAGCCGCTCCAGCTGCAGCGCGCCCGTCGCCGGCCACTCCGCCGGGGGACCGTTCGCCACGTTCCACGCCGCTTCCTACGCATACACAGATATATTTGTTTAAACATAAAAAAGTCTCTGTGATTGCTAGAGTAAAAACCGGAAGCGATCAATGAATCTAGAAGCACACTTAATACTATGTGTTGTATATTGTATATGTTATGTATCTGTCAGGCTGGAGAGGTCACGCCTGGTGAAGTCCACACTACGTCATTGCCTCGCTCCGATTCCCGAAGAGGGCCGAAGCCTTTTAACTCCACCTGCACAATCGCTTCCGGTGCCTAACCAATTGCGAAACCGTGAACGAAATAAATAATGGGTTAGTGGAAACTGTCCGAGCCAAGGGATCGGAATTCACGCCTTTAAGATGTCACGCCGAACACAAACCTCAAAAGCTTTCAAACGGAACATTAAAACCCATAAGACAACGAAACGAGATGAGACTACAGTCTTCATTCAGTCAGCCAATATGTTGAAGTACCGTAACCTCTCAAAAGGCGAATTTCTGAATCCATCAATCCAACGCGACCTGCGCGTATAATAAATACTCAACGAGTTAAGTCGCAATCAGGCGAAAGGATACGAAAATTTAAAAGTTCAAAAAAATCAGGCAAATATCGAGGCTGGGAGTATTATATCGTCAAAATCGACGATTCTGAGAGAGCTCGAGAGGTTCTTCGGATTGTTGTACACCTCAACATGGCAACCAATTGACGGTACCCTAGAGCTAAGCCGACACGGCCACGCCACAAACGCATCTAAGAAGAGAGCACGAAACCAATCCAATTACGAAAAGGCAGGGAGACGGGAAGACGTTTTAAAGCTCTTGGAGTGGAGCAAACTAGGCATCAACACCAATGGCGAATAGATCACTCATCTAGGTTTTCTCGATGATATAATTGTAATGGCAGAGTTATTGGAGGACCTAAACACTGCTCAGCTGCCTCAATACCGTTTCCCAACAGGTGAGTCTTTAGATGGACAAGACGACAATAATGCTAAATGCCCATGTTGCACTTGTACTGGTTATCGTTGGCATCTGTAACCTCGAAGTTGTAGACCACTATACATATCTAGGACAGATTATCCGGCTAGGTAGGTCTAACTTCAAAAAGGAGGTAGCCCGAAGAATCCACCAGGGTAGCGTCTAGAAAGTTATGCGATATCTTCTCGTCAAAAATCCCGCAGTGCCTTAAAACAAAGGTGTACAACCGGTGTTGTCAGTGATGACATACGGTACTGACGCTCAAAGTCGCCCAGCGAGCGATGGAGAGAGCTATGCTTGGAGTTTCTTTGAGCAACGATTCCCGAAATAATGGAAATTCGCCAAAGAACCAGTCACCAACATAACTCTTAAAATTTACAAGCTGAAGTGGCAATGGGCGTACCGGCATACCACATCACTCGAAGGATTGACGGCCGATGGGTCACAAAAGTGCTCGTAGTGGAAGCCTATACAGCACGGCAAATGCGAGTTTTTAAACATTGACGGTTGGATGGAAACATATTTTTCGTAACGTCAACTGAGTGGATTAAATTAGGCACAGAGAAATATTAATATTCTGGATTAACACATAGACTACCTTTTACCCTCACACTACAGGCAAAAGCTGCTAGTAGCAGCTAGTTTCAAATAAATCTCGTACCTGTTCTGTTTCAGCATATTCCTTAATCCTTTCTACGGCTACAATGTTGGTTTCAACTTCTGATGTCATGCGAACCAACCAATTCAAAGTTTGTGTAATCTGAAATCAATGTAAAGGTTTACAATTTTATACACCAATTGTTTCACCGAATAAGTATGTCTAAATAATGGGGCAGTACATACCTGTAACGCGTAGCTAACAGAAAGTCCCACAAGACCAGCACTAATTGTATCTCTGTTGAGTACAGCAAACATTGCCGAGAAGAATATGATGAGATTGCCAATCATTTCGAGTCTGACTGCAAGCCACCTGTTGGCGATGCAGCTTGGATAGTAGCACGACTGGTTGTGATCTACACCGCGCTCCGACTCTTCAACAAATCTGTCGAACAAACGAATAAATTTTTACATCGGGTTAAATGTAAGAAGACTTAACAAAAATATCAGCTAAGAATGATCGTACCTTTCGGAGACACCATAGGCTCGAATAGTACTAGCGCCGGTGATACTCTCGCCGAAGTGGGAGTAGATAGGAGATCTAGATACGGACTCAAGTCGTTTCAGCTGTCGTGACGTAGCCACATAGAACCTCTGGATCACGTAGTAAATGAATCCGATGGGCAGTATCACAGCCATGAATATCGGTGTCGAGAAACTAATCACGAACAGCGTACCCAGAACCTAGAGACCACGGGATACACAATTAGTAAGTAATGTACATTTGTTTACAATAATCAGTTTAATGGCCCAAGCAAAGAGGACCACTGTTTTGTAGTAAAATGTTTGTGCCAAAATATATTGCCATTTTCTGCTTTTAAGAGTTTAAGGTTTGAATGTTAAAAACAAGATGGAATATGTATTATATTACTACATCTTGAGAATACGTTAAAAGTTATCTTAAAAAAATATAAAGTCTCATTTGCTGCACAAAAAAAAAACATATTTTGGCTTAAATGAAAATGGATTGAATTATTAGGTATAGTCATTTTACTACTACAATGAGAAGAATCAACTTTTTATAGTACCATTACTTTTTCGTATCCATTTCCATTACATAACGTCGCAAGTCACGGGTCAGTCAGAGTAAATGTAACAATTAAACGTTTGTATACGTATGTCTGGGATCAGTTTACAAACTTACGAGGTTAGTTTGGTGTGGGTAAAGAAAAATCCAGGAGCCACATAATGCGCAAACAATAATATAACTACAATGAAGGCTCGGTAATACGAAAAGAACGCGAGAACATAAAACATTAAGCTGAACAGTTCATGTAACGCAGGGTCGTTTTCAGTGACAAATAATTCTAGATATTTAAAAGAAACGGTGTACATTTTTTGAGGAATAATTTGTTATTGAAAACGAAAAGCATTAAAGAAAATTAATGTCAGCACGATACAATAGTCTGACGTAATTTGTTGAATTAAGCTTGCTTTCAGACGGACTGTCAATTTTTTATTTAGGTTCCATATTCACAAATCAACTTTGTTCAATGTGGAAGAAATAAATTGATCATATTTATTTCTTCCACATGATAATAATATATTAAGTGGATTGACTTGATTCTTCATTTATTTAATATCGCACTAACATCTAACACATAGAGAGGAACACAATGTGGTACAAACAAAGCACAAATAATAAAAAATACCCACCAACATAATCGAACCAGCCATGAAATGCAATGATTAACTAAGAGTGGCGAGATTACCTCAAAAATGCACCACATCAAGTCGGAGATCTGCGAGGGAAGAGACGTGTCCAAAATGTCCATGTCTTTAGAAAATCTAGCAAGTATCCTGCCAACGGGTGTCACTTCGAAGAAATTTAGTGGTGCTTTTAAGACGTGGTCCAACAAGAGTTCGTGGAGCAACCTCGCCGCGCGCCAACACGCCAGGTATGGCATTAAATCGGCAAAAATTGATCCTAATGCTGCAACAACATCCATCGACACAATTTAGTTCCTAACTGAACACCAAGTCGGTGCGCTCGACACTAGGTGACAACAATCCTAATAATAATGAATACATTGTTTACGATAGCTAATAGCCAAATACTAACTACGAGGTTTTAAGGGCTTCATGGCGCTAAGTTGGTGGATATCGATAGTGCAAATTGGAAAATAATAGGCGATATTAAAAATCTAAGTAAGTTAGTCAAGACATTAAGAATCTATATTAGGCTTTAATAACAGACACACTTCAGTGAAAATCGACTAAAACGCGTTACACTATCCCAAGTTAATCCACAATTGATATTTAAATTATTTGAAAGGGATAAGGTCATGTTTAATTTTGTTATTAACACCATATAACGTTATGTATTTATTTAAACTTGTAAACTAGTTTATTAGTATTTATTTATTTTATAGTAGGTATTTATTTTATAGTAGGTATTTATTTTATATACAAGTTAGAATTTGTTAATGACGTCGATGATTAAGATCCATTAAAACCAACATTAATAGAAGAACCCTGGTTACAACTGATTAAAAGTCACGGAACAAGAAAAACACTAAACAAAATGTCCTTATTGAAATAAATCTTTATAATAGAACAGTATAAGAATCAAGATAATATTATTGAACCTTGGGAATATCACCAAAATAAGGACATTGAACTGTGAATAAACTTGATGACCCATGTAGTGTTACAGTCGAATATTTCACTAGAGGAGCTATTTCACTCCTCAGCGTAATTTCTACAGTATCAATCACATGCAAGCTAACACTAGCGCATACAATCAGGTAGATTCTGGGTTAAAAACTAAAATAAGCAAAGAAAAGTAATAAAACCCAATTAAATATATAAGCACCTAAATCTAGAAAACAAAATAGAACAGATGTTATTAATATTTTATAAACTGATCCCACATTGATATGTCGATTTTTTAATATTATATAAGCACCACTTGATCTGCAGCTTGGCTCGAATGTTCGATACCGAGTTCTACAAAAAATACACAACATTGAAAGCAATTTGCGTTATACACTGTGAAGTGCAACACATTTAGTTATTTCAGTTCAAAACTTTCAAACCATCAAACGTCGCTGTAAGTTTTCAGTAAAATTAAATTATGGAACTGTGTATCGTCTGAATGTGCAAAACTGTCTTTATGTTACACCACGTCGCCTTCTGGTACGTCAATTAATAATAATTGGTGAATAGTGATCATGATTACCATGAGTGTTGAAAAATATCGTTCTTTGAGTACCAAGTTGTAGTGCTGTACAAAAATTTGTTCTTTTAATATGTGATATTATAATAAGTGTCATGTATAGTCATGAGTCTTGGTCGTCGTATTTGGAGCTGAAGTGTAAGTACAAGTCGTATTAAGATTGTAAGTGCGAGGCAGTGTTGCAGTGCACACAGAAAGTTGGCGCGGCTGGGACGTCTCGTACCGCAAAGAAGCATGAAGTCCAGCCCCTGAGCGTCATGGGCAGCACGTTGTCGAGGACGTCGACGTCCTTGCTGAAGCGGTTGAGCACGCGGCCGACGGGCGTGCAGTCGAAGAAGCCGATGGAGGGCGCGCGCAAGACGCCGGCCAGCAAGGCGCCGTGCAGCGCGCGCGCCGCCGCCAGCGTGCCCAGGTACAGCGCCAGCGACGACACCGACACCGACACCACTGCCACAGCCGCACTACTACTCCACTACTCGCTACTCCGCTACCCACCGCGCCACGTACACCGGACTACACTGCCCAAACTTCCATGGCGGACCCACATATGATCTGTTCTTTCAATATTAGTGCACTTGAGACTTTTTCAACTCATATGCATTTTTAACCAACTTCATTATTTATCTTTGTTGGCAATTATACATCTAAATAAAAATGATGAATGTTATATGTATCAATTAGCGAACTTTTTTGTGTCTTTAGGCATGGCCATTGGTTTAAGTAGCCTAATCAATCTTTATTTATTTTCCTGAATACCATCAATTAGTTGACTACAATAAAAAATCTTTTTAATTTTAGACAATATTGACAATAATATCACAGGCGTTATTTTACTGGTTCGTTGTTCAATCCACCATGGCTTCTTTGACTACGATCAATGGTTCATCTTCTGTCACTAGTGTACATGGCGATGTCGATTTGTAGCGAGTTTGGTAGTCTTACATAACTAACTATTATTTTTATTTAAGAGATATCACAGGAGTTTAATAAATCAGATTTAACAAATATGTCAGACTAACTGGGCTGGCAATTCATATTAATATTTCGTACTAATATAGGACAAAAACAAATAAGTAAATTTCTAAAAAGTAGCATGCAGTCAGTTTGGTTTAGAATAAAATAAAAGTGTTAATTATTCATACAACAGTCACGAAGAATTTTCGTTATAAACGCAGAAACACTTTTGTTCACATAATTTGGAATAAGCGAACTTTAGTATAAATTTGTTATATTGTGACCAAGTGTCCGGTTGTTGCGTCCATGCCTCGCCGCGCTTATATTTTTCATGACTATTGTTTTTTATATCTACTAAATATTATTTCCCTATTATAGATTTACATGCACAGAATTCAATCATTGTTAGTCGATAAGGATATTCAATTTCATGCAATAGATTACACATATACTTTGAAACAAGACTAGATAGTATTAAGAAAGTAACAGAAACAAAAATAGTAAATAATGTATTCATTATTATTACATTCTAAATATATTTCCATCACCAAAACCATGTATTAGTTCATCAGGTTATCCATAACTTATTTAAATAAATATACTTAACAATATTACAAGACACATCCATATGACTATAATAACATTATGAAATTTTATTACAAACTGTAAATAAAAATCTTTTTATAGCTTAAATTATTAAATATATTATGGAACTTTGTTGTTATTACAGTAGTTTATCAATATCAGATTGTTCTCGAAAGATCCAATTTTTTTTGTGAATACTCTCTCTCAATCTCCTTGTTTTAATAAATAATATTGGATATGTATATCAAATCGTAATTCCAGTATCGTAACAGGAATTATAAAAAAAAGTTCCTGTGATTATTGGTCAGAAACTTATTGGAGAATTTGAGTCTTTACATCTAGGAATAATTAATATTGTCAGTATGGCATCCATAGATTACGTGAGTGAGGGAAAGCACTTACCTTGTCCAATGCCGAGGCCGCCGTACACTCCGAGGTACATGTCACGTCGCTTGGTGTCGACTGTGCCGTTCACCAGCTACATACAAAATACATATAAGCTATACTAAAGTAATAAAGCCAGTCTAACAAAACTCATTGCTTGGATTACACTCATTACATTTACTAAAAAGTTTATTAATGTGGTTAATTCTATTTCAATTTACGATTAAAATATATCTCATGATTTACAGATTGAAAAAAGGATTCAAGACAAATGGATGAAATTAATTATCGATTTTAATCTAATGTTAGACTCTCCACTTCTTGAAGTCATGAAAAAAGTCGAAGATTTTGGATTGAAATCGGTTATTAATTTTGGCCATAAGAAAAGAATGGATCTTACCATTTTATCATCATTAGCCCATTCAGTGAGCCAGTAGTTGGAGCCGACTTGGAATACTTGTAGAATGAGATTCATGAGCACAGTGATTACGGACGACAATACTCCGACACTCATCAAGTAGTGCTTGTACACGCCCCATTTCACCTGCGGATGGTACAGATAGATAAGTAAAAATTTGTAGCTTGTAAAATAAGAATGTAGTCACAATGGGGGCGACAGTTTTTATTCCAAATCATTAGCTTTAAATAGACCATATGAAAAGGTTCAACTTTATGTGTCTGTCGGTCTATCATCTAGTCAAGCTTTTTGCTTGTTACAAAGTGTAGATTCCTATGGAGAAGAACGAGCAAGAAACTCCATGCTCACTAGACATGTCTTTTCGTCCAATAGAGAATTAGCTAGTGTCACACCATTGGATGTCAAGTTTTTGACAACTATGGTGATTGGATAAATAAAGCTCTTGCTAGAGGTCAGGTAAAAACCGATAGCCGTGATTAAATAGGAATAAAACGCTGTATGCTGTGTGATGTTGCAGATTCTCATCATTGGCAGTATATTAATTTTTGAGTGTCCGAAAATCAAAACATATAAATCTTCTATAGGTACTAACACGAGGAATGACTGAAATATATACAAAGAAAATTACGAGTTTAGTTGTAGCCAAAACCAGAAGATCGGTTGTTTCAAAAAATACTTACACTGCCAGTTTCTGCTTTCTCAGCCTCAATAAGTTTGTTCTTCTCTTTCAATTCATTCGGAGTCGCTGTTTCTGGAGTCTTTCTCTTTACGCTGCCTGCTCGGTCTCCTAAAAATAAAACGGAAGAATAATATTAATGACTTGAATGCAATAACATAACTTTACAACAGTATCCTGAAGATAAACGAGAACGCCTTTTATTTCCATATTTTGTTAACGCGAAAACTGGATATAATTTTTTTCAGCATAAGTAACAAAAAATCGAATCCAACAACACTAAAGGCGTTTTGGATTAACAAAAATTAAGGATACATTTTGTAGCGGAATTTTCAATTTTGCTGAATTATATTAATCTATAACATTTCTGTCACTATACATGTACACTATAGATGCAATAAAGACTTTGTTTTGATTTGATTTTACTACATATAAAATTATGTTTATTTACCTGCCCCCTGTTCAGATTCAGATGCACTCTCGGATAGTGAACGAGCTCTCTGCAACTTGCTCTGGAACTCGGTGCCAAGCTTACTCTCAAGGTCCTGTTTGATCTCGTCCAATTCTGAAAATACGGTTGACAATATTTTATATTATTAAGGTGATTTCTAGAAAATCTAGAAGGTTTCGAAAGTGAAATTTCTTACCTTCCGGTGAGGTCCTCTCAGCATCGCTCAGATGATGTAGCAAGAACTCTGCAAAGGCGCCCTTCTTTTCGAGTAGTTGCTGGTAGGAGCCGGCCTCCGAGACCTCTCCGTCACGCAGTACCACCACCAGGTCCGTTTGTGCCAGGTATGACACGTTGTGGGTCACCCACACACGCGTCTTGTTCTTCAGCAGTCCGCTGGGACCCAGTACCTGCAGCACCAGATACGTTAGCACTACAGGACTACTATACTTACTCTACACGTAGCCGGGTGCCCCACACCCACCTTGTCGAAGATGTGCTTGCCGACGTGTGAGTCGACGGCGCTGAGCGGGTCGTCGAGGAAGTAGTTGTCCGCGTCGCAGTACACCGCGCGCGCCAGAGACACGCGCTGCTTCTGGCCTCCAGACAAGTTTATACCTACACACGTTAGCATGAGTTACATTGTATACATCCTTGGACTGTCATAGTAGGTTCCATAAAATAAATTACCTTTCTCTCCAATTTCAGTTTGGTCTCCACCAGGCAGGACTTCGAAGTCAGGTTTGAGAGCACACATGTCGATGACATTGTTGTACTTATGTTTGTCGAGGGGCTTGCCGAACAGTATGTTGTCCTGAAGCGTTGCGTTTTGGATCCACGCTTGTTGCGGCACGTAAGCTATGCTGCCTAAAGTTTGAAGAAGAAATAAGTCAGTATAATATCACAATTTATATCTGTCTGCCCAGAATGTAACATAAAAATATTATGTGGACTTACCGGTCGTGTTAACTCGTCCAGAAATCTTATTCATTTCACCCAACAATGCAGAGAGCAAAGAGCTCTTTCCAGAGCCGACAGCGCCCACGATGGCGACAAGAGAGCCTCGTGGTACGTGCAGATTGATGTTCTTGAGAGACGGCTCCGAATCGTGGTCTCCCCACGTAAAGTGACCATTCTCAATGGAGATGGGGTTCGCTAGAATAGGAACGAAGGAACATTGTGAAACGTTTCCAAGTTTTCTTACAAAATCTCAAAAGTCAACGGTATTAAGTACAAAACACTTACGGTCTTTGGGATCATGTTCCACGGACGTGATGTCTAGTTCGTCACAGTTCATGAATTTATTCAATCTCTTAATACCGACGGATGTCTAAAAATACAGAATCGTGTTAGTCGTATCAATATTATTTGTCTAAGAAACAAATATGTTAGCAACACAACATGCATTCAAGCGAAATTAACGAGCGCGACTTTAATCATTTTTAAATAAACTATTTTAGTTTTTTGCAAAAAAATTACCAATTATTTTGAATATCAAATCAATCAATAAAAACACGCTCATATTTTCAACAATTAATCACATCAAGCTTTGTTTTATAATAAAAAATACTGTAAATTAAGCAGTTGTTAGTTTTATATTAATGTTAGTTGCTTGATAAGAGAAAAGTTAAAAGAGGCGAAAAAATGAGTTGGTTTATTATGATTATGAGAAAATGGACTAACAACAGACTACAATTGAGCACAAACGGGGACTAGGGATTTTTCATTAAGTACATACAAACGTACGCTAAACAAAAGGTCTTATTGTTGACCTCAGGCATTACGATTTGACTTGTAAAAGCTTAACATTGCACACAGACAAATATAGTCTAATATAATGAACTTACTTGTACAACATTCGATATAACGTTAGGCAGCATTGACAGTGGGAAACGCAGAATGTTGAAAAGAGACAACGCTACGAAAGCTCTCTTAGAGTCCAGCACTTCAGTATCGTTTACCAATACAAAGCACCCGAACGACATCAGCGACACCTACGACATCATTCGAGGAGATATTAAGTATTGCGCCATGCAAGAGGCCACGGCCGGACTGTAGCTTAGGAGTTTAGGTTGTGCTCGACCACCACATACACCACCATCACTCGCGAGTCCGTACTACATTAACGACATACGCGCTTAGTAGTGACGCGTACCAATAACCAGTACAATGTTGCTTTACTGCTATATTAGATACGAATATGCATGTTAGTGTGTCTGTATGTGAAAGAACCATAGCCATGTGTAGCTTTATTAATAGAGGAGTGAACACGTCATGGCACTACCTCGATCGCCGATACCACGATGAGTGGTAGTAAACCTAGGGGCAAGTGCATTGTGTAAAACAGAGACATCGACACGAATATATTTTCAGCTGTCAGGATATTGTTCTCGGGATCAGTAATCAGAAATGTGAAGAAGGTTAGGAAGGTCACCTTGAAAACAAACAAAATTATTTTTATATTAACTCTGAAGCTAAGTATTCAATTATTTTTTACTGTTCTACAACATATTACCATATGAAGTTCATTCGTTATACTATAGACATGTTGCCATCTATGGTAGAAAAATCACAATGAATCGTAACAATTGTGTGCACACGCTTACGAGATTAAATAAACAGCCAAAGATTGATTTGTTGTTATCGTTTCTGACTAAACGATTCTTGGGGGTTATCGAATAACAACGTTGAATAGATTTCAATGTCTGTTATCAGTAGGTAAATCATATTAAACTGATAGTGAAACATACACTCATCAATAAAAATATTAAGACATAAAAACTGATAACTTCGATAAAGCGTGTAAACTGTCCGCTATCATATAGTAAATCAGTGACAATTTATTTACACTGTATATAATTCAACGAGATTGCGGCATTATTATCAGAACACATTCAATATACATAATGAGTAAGTAAATCAGCGTAAACAAAGGTGGCGCTTAGATTTTCATTGACTCGCGTGACACGCTACCATAATTAATGCACACGGTTCTCAATAGATGTTTGCGTAACAGTATCGTGTGAAATTATCTTTAAATGCTTACAACAGAAATCAGTATGATCTCATTGTTTAGATAAATATGTCAGGTTTTTACTTTCCAACAAAACACCATTAAGTGCTCAGATAAGCCAACAAATATGATAACATTGCAGTCAGCACTTTTTTGACGTTATTTTGCAAAATATTGCAAATTTGCATCAATTCTTGTGTTCTTTTAAATAACAAAATTTACTTCTAGTTTTGCTATATTCGCTTTTTAAGTTATCGGCAAAAGCCTGGACATTTTGGTTAGAACATTCACAACTTTCTTTAAACTTTTGAAAAAAAAAAAGAAATGTTGAAACGAATTTTTTTCCATCATTCTCACAAAGAAAACTTGGTATCATAATGACACAGCATTTTTATGACTAACCAAGTAAACATGATGCTGAATCATTATAACAAGAGTATTTTTAGGAGAAAAATGCATAATCTTATATTCTTCTATTAGTACCAGTTTCATAGATCTCATAGATCTCTTAAATACCTTCGTATCCTTTGAGTTCAAAGTACAAGGTTGCATAGACATTAAAATGTAGGTGTAAAGAACCATTTACGTCTTAGTTTCTTTAGAGCAGGATTCTTTAAATCAAGAAATATGATTCTCCGTCATAAATGCATTGGGATAGATAGCATAACTTTTCTATCATAAATTAGTGTAAGTCGTAATGACGACACACCATTTTTTTTCTCTAGATAGCTAGGCGGAACTATTTTTGTTTAATTTGGTATGTGTATACATGTCTTAACAAGATAAATACGTAGCTTACCAGGAACGGTGCGCAAGACCATATAAATGAGGTAGCTGAATTAAGATAAGCAGTCTGTTTCAATACATTCATTTCTTTGTTTCTTATTTTAAGTATTTGATCTTCGAAACTAGGTTCCCAGGCATACATTTTAAGAACCTGTAAAGAAAACATTATATGTATAAGTAAAATTTTGTTTTATTAGTAATATGATAAATCTGGTATAGCAAAAACATATTTTATTACGGGGGAATAGAGCTGATTTTAAAGTAATAATGCAAGGAAGTTCGACAGTGAACACAAATCGTCGAAATATATGTACATAAAGATAAAAACTGTTGTTTGAAGGTCTGTTGTACAAACAGTAATTGTGTAGCGAGGTCAGAGTACGCCAGGACTTGATAATATTGTGTACTTATACTTATGAAGATATTACCTCAGTTGCAATCTTACAATAGCAAATATAATTAGGAATAAACGTATCGTTATTACGATATATTCTTATTGGAATGCCATGCCGCGGGCCATTGAAGATTTGTAATACCTATACTGCTTATTTGATCTAAGTTAGGCATGACATGGCACATTTTGAAAAAATCACATTGCCTGTAATATCGCTACAAATAAAACTTACTTATCTTGGTTGTTTACTCTTGATTATATTACTATCACTAAGCAAATATAAGATATTGCACTTACTAGTTGTAAATATGCATCTACAGTAAGAGTCACGGTCATTTGGGAGTCGTACAAAGGGCCAAAGACAACTGCACAGAAGCCTTTTGTGACAACTATTATTATCATTATTGAAACTTTCAATGACGATTTAGAGACTTTAAATTTCAAAAGGGACCTTTCCATACTTATAAATAAAAAATATATTCATCGTCATCTGTTAAAAGCTTCCCCTGAGATAGGATCGCTAAAATTCTAATACCCCTAGGGGTACAAGTTTCAAGTCATTCGAGAACCTACATGGCTAGCTCCAGGGATACTTTGTAAATTAATACCAACGTCATTAAGCCTGTATTCATAGCCATCAGCCATATTTAAGTATTGTAATCTTATTCGAGTATTGATATTTTTTTCAACTTTTCACCTAGTGGAACGATTTACATTTGTAATCTAGTTTTGGATGTAGGTATCTAAGTGTTTAAAAATAAGTACAAGTGCTCACGTCATATTATGACATAAAGAAGATCGAACACGATTTTATGAGGCGGTAGATAAGAACAAAATCGAAACCTTATCTGAAACACGTCTCAATTCAATGCAAACAGTCAAAATATGTACTTCCCTAGATAAAAAGTATTGCAAAAGTTTATGAAATATGTATGTGCTTTACATCTCATTGTGTAATATAAGTAATAATAGTGTCTACAGTGAAAAAAAAAATTTTTTAAACCTAAATAACGGTGGATTAAAAACAACAATAAATTTTAGGCACAATATTAATAGAATAAGTATTATGTGTGGAAGACAGACTGTTCAAAAATCGTTTTTTGGCAATTGTAATTTTTACTGTCAGATAATTTCGCTGAAGGACATTTACAGTTTACGTTATCAGCGATGGCATAGTAACCGGAATATAGTTTAATCTTTCAAGATAGACCACGTCTTAGAAAAGTGGAATGGCCAACTCGTCAAATTCAATATTTTTATTTAAATGACAAAAACAATGCTTTTCTATTTATGTATGAAATCATAACATATGAAGTCATAATATACATATGAAATAAAATAGCATTCGCATTACAAAAATATGGGAAAAAAAAATTGAGAATATCGTCAAACAGATAAAAGAAGGTCTGATTATAATTCATTGTATTGAAAAGTCAAAATAGAAAAGTTACAGGTTTTATGAGTAATATAATATGTTATTTTTAATTAACAACTATTAACTTTAGTATTGTAATTTCCGCAAAATTCCCTGTCACAGATAATATCAATTCATAAAACGAAACCTACAACAGATAATAGTAATTATTTGTCTTTGTTATCTACACGGTGATAAAATAAATGAAAATCAATGCCGTTATCACTGATTTCCCAATGACTTTACGAAAAGAAATTAGATGCAGTAATCAAGTTTAACAATATTCACTTTATCAACTCTCGCTGTTACTCAATATTATGTCATATCAACAAGTCAGTAAGGTTTCAATTATAAAAAAAAGGTTTATCGACTTAGCTCATAATTAAGGATAAAGAACTTATTATTCGTTTCACGGTCGTTATATACATACCTAATTAAAGGTTGACTGTCAATCCATCCATCGTTGTTTATAATTATAACAACAATGATTAGCTTTATTTTGAATTTCCGAAGAGAAGGAAAGTTTGCATTACTAGCTTGGATATTAGTGGTAATGTTAGTTCTACATCCCCTATTACAATGATCTACAGGAAATAACAGGATAATACTATACTATATAACCCTTTGTATAATAACACATACTTATTAATAACTTGTACCGTCTGTATTAGCAAGTATAAAAAAATAATAGGTGCAGTATCTAGTATTTGCTCAGTGATATCATATCGAGAAAATAAGAATCAAACAAGCAAGATAGGTTTTGTGTGTAGTATGTATTTAGTGATAATACTAACGAAAGAATTACCACAAACATTGTCAATGTGGTGAATATCATTCAAAATAATATACTAGAATATGTTTCTTGCAATTATGTTAGTATTATTGGATGCATGATTGCTTATAGAATAATTACCATACTAGCTTTATGTTTGAAGCTATTATCTTGCACAATATTGTGTAATCTATGTTTTGAAATTATTATTATTATTATACTCTATGTTTGTGACTCTGATTTTTTTTATAAAAACGTTTCCCCACCCTTTGATTTTCTCCTGCGTCGTGGGTGCGTTTACAAGCATACAAATTAAGATACACAAGCCATCCCAAACAATTTGTGGATCACACAGTGACCAGGCACTGCACTGTCCGTCAGTCAAAGTACAAATATTGCACAACATGTTATGTTTTTAAATCCAAAGATTACAATCTAGCTACCACCTAGCTATTTATTTTTTATAAATACTATCTTTATAAAACTGTCTTGTCATCGTAAAAAGTATGACGATGACAAGGCAAGACGTCATCGTCGAAAATAAAAATAACAAAATAGTAATTTACCTTAATTCCATTAAGTACTTCGTTCATAAGTTTGACTCTTTCGTCTTTGTATTTCATGAGCCTTATTTGAAGTGTCTTGACTCTGTTGGCGATGAGGCCATTGACTGGTATAAGAATAATCATCACCGCCAAACCCGCCAGTACGGAGGGTCCCAGGATCCCCCACAAAAAGTATAGGGCAAGAGCGATTTGCAACGGCGCAGACCATATCATATTCAAATATGCAGTCAGTTCAACGAATCTGTAAAGTTCAAACGTATTATGTAAACATTGTTTATCTACTTCTCTTAAGGGCTTGTTTGACAACCATCATAAAAGTACCTGGTAAAGGTGCTGATAGTTCATACAAATTTAGTTCTATATCAAAATTATTCTGGTAGATAATGGCTACCTAGACAAAGCGAAACAGACTTTTAGTAGTTTAAAAAATAGACAGTTTTTATTCTTGGAACAAATAGGTACACCAGCATCGGCCATAAACACCATTTTTCCATATGTATAAAAATTCAGACTAGTGCATTATGTGCCCTCGGCTCCTCCCGCATTACCGGTAGGTTTCGAGAATTCGCTATCAAATTACATCGGTATCCATTACGTACTTGTGCACGAGAGCAGATACATACAAACAAGCATTCACGTGAATAAAATTACATTGATACGATCAGTATGAATTTATTTGAAGTATTTATCACATACTTCGACTTTTTAGGTTTATTGGTTACTAGGTAGATGATAAAACTATAGAGCGATAATCTTTTTCAGTTAGTCTGCAATCTCAATGTCAAATGTTTAGATCGAATATCTCTGACGCAGGTCCTATCTTGATTTCTTGTGTAAATAACAAATACATATGTTACACAAAGTATATGTTATACAAAGCATAATATACATACAATCTTGTCACACATGTTCCTTATCTTTTGCGGATTTAAATTTTAATTAAATATTTATCACACTAGAAATCTCTTACAGGAAGGTGATTCCTGTTGTATATTTTTATCAGATAATAGATAATAATTATTTTCCACTCTTACCTTTGAGCGTCTACCGACATCAGGTTAACAATCTCTCCGACTGTCGACTCTTTCCTAGCTGCGTTGGACATTCGGAGTGACTTCCTGTAGATGGCACTAGTTAGGGCAGTCCGTATCCGCATGCCCACAAGGTACATCCTCGTGAAGTAGTGAGCCAGAAGCATGGTCTGCACCGTGGCACAGGCAAGAAGCGCAACTGCGTAAACGTAACCTTTCCATATTGGCTCTTTACCTTGCACGAATCCTATAAGAAGTCTAAAAAAGGAATTGTTATTGTAGGATTAAGGAATTAATCATATCTATAAATCTAATCTAATTAAGGCTGAACTAGAAATGTATCATGAGTATGAGAAACAGGTGGCAGTGTTATCTTGTCATAACGTGACTAGCAAAATATTTAGGGCTTACTTGAGTAACTGTGGCGATATAAACATGAGGACGTCATTGAACAGTTTCAGCATAGCTCCGAACAAGAACTGGCCCCCGAAGGCAAGGCATAGCGCCGGCAGGATAGAGGCTGGCTTCTTCTCACTCTCAGGCTTGAAGTTGACGCTAGCTGATGTCTTACGATACGATGCCTTAGTTGCGTTGGAACTGAAACACAATTAACATTACGTGAGAAAACTGTATACCCCTTATTCTGACTCGTCAGATTTCTTAGGATTTTTACTGTCGAAACTCTAAAGTCCTACTCGCGGGTGCCAGGCTTGTGACGTAAAAATTCCGTCCACATTAAGGGACTATTAATTTAATTGACATTTACGGTATTCAATATTTATAATGTATATGACTTTATAAAAAAAAACTGGCGTCATAATGTGTTATATATTTGATTGATTACATGGAAAACATTTGAAGGTACTCATCATCACAGTATCTTTTACCTTGAAACGTCAAAATTGATTATAGAGGTAGGTACAAATAACATTCATCAAAGTTGAGTATATTCCAAACACGGATCATTCATTTACTTGTAATAACACCGAGTGTACAGTACTTACATCTCTCGTTTCCTCAAAGACTTCTCCCAAAATTTGTCGAACTTTGGAACGACTTCAGTAGAAGAGTCTTGAGGGTTCAGAGCCCACAAATCTTCCTCTGTCAAACTTCTACGGAACCCAGTTAAGGCGAGTGGGTCAAACCAGCTGAATGTCAGTCGACTAGGGAATCCCGAAGCGTTCTCCGGACATTGATTCTAAATTATAAAATGATTACATAAATAAATAAAACATACGACAAGGTTATACTATAGTCTGTGGACGGTATTAACGCTTACGTAATTTGACAATCTTGTGGTCAAACTTGAGGCTTTTTTTGACCATGTAGGGAACACAAAAAATACGTAGTATTAAGTGATATATTAATATGTAGTGAGGTAGGATATACGATACCAAGAAGTAAGATCGTATTATTTATTTTACTTTAAAACGTAACTATATTTTATCGATTTGAATATTAATCAATATAAAACAAAAATTATAATTTACCTTTTCATATTTGTACGGTGAATCCTTCGGAGGTAAATCGGCGAAACAATTCAATATAAACATAATAACTATCAGGGGAAAGTAGACCATATAACTAACGAAGTTATATTTAACGTTTTCATCATCGGGGATATTGGCGTGTGCTTTGATCTGGGACTGCAGCTGAGGCAGTCCAGCCAGAATAAGAAGTAACCAGAAGAAGAACAGCACTCCAGACGCTCGCATACCATACTTTCGGTTGTAGTATAATAACGTAGCTGATAAACCCTGTAAGCAAACATTCCAAATGTAGATAATGTTCCACCAGCATCTCATCACCCCAGACATACTGCTCGTACATCGCGAAAAACGCAATGTTGAATAAAGAACTTGTGCTTTTATTTTTAGACATTGAACTGACAAGCATTGGTTCGCGTTGAACGCTCTTACAAATAAACACAGGAACCAACCAGCATGAGTAATAATATAAAAGTTAGCAAAACATTATTTAAGTATTTACCCATGTTTTTGGTACCTGGTAACTGCGAGTTTTATACAAATAAATACTTAATGTACCTAAAAACTTAATTGTGTATTCAAAAAGATTTTAACTAAATGAAGTCTTAAAAATATTTTGTCATGATTCATGATAATTCCGTTTCTAATATTTCTATTTTATTTAAATTTACTACTTTTGTTAGCTGATGAAAACTTTGTTAACACAGCAAGAGAAATTGTCAAAAAGATATTATTTATATTCATTAACTAATTAACAGAACATAAAACAATTATTGCTCCTGTACAGTTTTCTTAATGAATGATTCTATACGTTAGTTGTATTGCACAATGGGAGCGTTAGCGTATTAGTTGCCGCCGTATTAACTCAGGGTCAAAGTCCGTTTTATCTCGTATTCAAGTTTTTATGAAGATTCCCACTGATTGTGATTATCTCACCGAAGGTCAATATTTTGAAGATCCGTTTCGTAGTAACTACAGATTTCCGCAAAAAGCGCGGGTCGCGTTAAGGTGTGCGGTCAGTCGAGGCTCGACATTCGAAGCGATATAATAATAGTGTAATAGGTTACGGCCGGTGATGTAACTTTTTTTTTGTCGACACGAGTGTGTGGCTAACAAATTGTTCAAGGTTAATGTTCTGTCCGACGAAAGGGCTTCCATAATTATGGAGCTGCTGTACCTTTAAAGTACTGTGGCAGTTTTATGTTTTAGAAGGTTGTTGAAACGTTAGATGCCATTTATTTTATGTGAGATTAATCGTGTTTTTGTTCATATTGGTAAAGTTTTGAGTAGTAAAATAACATTGTCAGCCATATACTGACATATAAACATACATAAAGGTTGACTCACTGAATGACAGTGCATGAATTCAAAGTACATTTTTATTGTATCCATTAGTATGAAGGATCATTAATTAATTATGAAACGACAATAAGGACGAACGACGAGTAGGAAACTTCATTTGAATGGGTATATTCACGTTAGTATACATTGGTTATGAGAGTTAGTTTAATACTTTGTGACCCAGTTTTAATCGTAAACATTGTAATGTTGAGGAAACATTCCTCAAAAACCATGACATGTGTGTGATAATAAATAACAGATTGAGAAATTCAGAATAGCAAATTAATTCTAAAGGTCCGAATCGTTTTTAAATTAGTTTAAAGATATGATTATTGACATTGTTAAAAATATAATCTATACATAATTTAAAAAATATATCAACTAATGTTAATAGTTCAAATAATGGCAACAATTTCGCTTATTATAAACTTGTGTTTTAATCTTTTAATTACTTTTTAACGAAAATTCCTATAAAAAAGTATAAAAGCAAATACGTTCACGATCTGTAAAAAGCTTCCAGTATAATGTATGCAAAATTGTTTGCTATTAAATTTATTTCTAGTCTATCTAGTAACATAGGTATCCTTATCAGTCTGACCCAAATAGGTTTCTGGTCCTAAACATTTCGATAAGGCACGAAGCGATTACTTTATTGATTGGCTATGAATAGAAGCTTTTACGCAGATATTAAACATCATAAAAATCGATGCAAGTTTAACTTCGCTACGAGTTATCCAAAGGTTTAATGTCGAGTACTGTTAACTCAAAAGATGCCTAACTTGTCCTACAAGTCAGCGGCTAGACTACTTAGGGAGTCTTTTCTAGACGAACAAAAACAACGCCTACGTCTTACATTTTATTAGTTTCTATTTCTACACTAAATAAACGCAGTCTCTCGAAAACGGCAAGTTTTAATTTAATCAGAAACATCGTACCGTTATAATCGTTCAAATACCAAATGCAGCCAAGTCAATCAAAGCAGAACGTAGGACTAAGTTACCTTATTTGTCAAACACAAACCGAGCAAAACATTGATGGATTTCTGAAATTCTCTCGTTTGTCGTCTGCAGACAAATCAGGAATTCATTGTGCTCGGTGGTTACAATTAGGCTCACCACATGCCAAATTAAAGTAAACCAAATAGAAAAATAGCATAGAAAATCAACAATACTTACAAATGTTAAAATCTTAATAATGGGACTATAATAATCTGCACTAAATACTGCCATGTCCTCTTGTGATGAGGTGTGCACTGTTACTCCCAGATCCACAAATTTTAACACTATCAGAAGGCAAGTTATGAACAGTTTGCTGATGTTCAATATGTTCCATGGTATATTTCTTTCTTTACTGTTCAGTATGTAGTAGGTGTCAAGGAACGCCGCGACCCATAAGTACAAACACGGCGTCCATACGAGCACTGTTTTTTGGAAGCATGGCGTTAGCTCTGGGCTGTCGGTATACCATGTGAGATTGCTATTCTGAAAAACAAAGAAAAAAAAATAATTAGACATACAAGCGTAGTGTGAACTATCCGGCTAGACGAGACTATTTATTTATACAAATAAAAAAGTGTGAATATGTATTTTGTTTGCAAAAGAATGGCATACCTACATTGCTTATTACCGATATCTATATAGTTATGGCTACTTGAATCATAAATACATATAGTATTGGTCTAAAGTTCAAGACCACAGCGTAGCAACAGCATTAATGCGCATAGATTTTTTATCGTCCCTCACTGTAGATGTGGGGCATCTTAAATGCTTTTGTTACTGCATCGTAATCAAATGGCGTGATATTCAGATAGCAAGGCCGTTGAAATTGTTATAATATTCCGTTACTTTGTTCCCGTTACTTAAGCCGGGCTCGTGTTACCGAATGTCTGGCACTATAAACATATCTTTAGATTATCACGTTCGCAATGACTTTCATATACGAATCTCGAGCAAGATGGGCCACTCGTAAGATGTATGTATTTATTTATTTAAAATACAGTGACGTGTTCTTTGAGTACGTTTACGCACCGAAACATCCCACCCACGGAACTACCGCTAAAGTACATTTTATGTTTAAAACATTGTTTTTGTATAATATAAAATATATTGGAGCGTTTTACCTCTCCAGGTAAGACAAGTCAGAAGATAAAAACGCTTTGTTTAATTCGGTTGCGTTACACAATGTACAGTTGATTCATAAATACATAGATAACATTTTGAACAGTCATCGTGTGATTTCGCTATAAACAACTTGCAAGCTTCTTTATACCCCCACATGACATGTGATCTCATTTCATGATGATTTGCAACATTCATTACGCTAAAATTCAATGGTTGAGGAACAGGGCAGCAATTAATACTTTTTGTATATTTTCACCAGTATTGCTTGCTATTTTGTTTGTTTAGGACCAATGACATAGAATCGGTAATGAAAAGATAATTTTATGACTAATTATGACACTACTACAGTTTAAGTTGATCTTATTTACACAGTTTAAAATAATAATGACTTAATTCTATTACATTATATTAGAAGTGAGACGGCGAGATCATTGAACCTAATAAGATTGCAAAACAACTTTTACTCCTAGAAAGTAAGCATATCATGACCGGCTGATGATGGATATTGTTAGTAGCATTATATCCGGTGGTGTCTCAGATTGTTGTGGTAGTTTACGATGTTTTCATTTTACGTCGACGATACCGGGAACAAAACCAGTTGCAGACGTGGCGTGGGCGACTCGTTAAGTAGGTATCTATTGATGTGTATTCTGTAGGTATACCTACCTACATGTTCGGAACTTTAGGTGTGTGATATCCGCTGTACGATAACAGGATTGTGGGCGAAATATTTTAATACATAGATAAAATAATTATCGTCTAAATTTAACAGCATACAATAGAGTAATATTGGCATAAATGAATCTTATTGGAATGGAATTTCAGATTAGTAACTGTGTTCTCAAAGTATTACGAATTAAATAGTGCTGTTTATTTCCAAAAATAGCGTTAACGTTAATTAAATAAAATGTTTGCTTATGTGACTACAACTTTTCATTTCCTGTCCAAAGTTTCGATCTCAGTCGAGGCTGTTAGTGTTAATAAAAATTCGAAAAAGTATATCTCAGGCCAATGCCGCTAGATGAGTCATAGACCCGTAATAATACGTCATCATGATTATTAATCAGTACCAATAATAATAATTTGACTGCATAGTTGGCGCAGTGGTTGGGCAGCCGATTGCTATGCTACGAAAGTTTAAGTGGAGTATCATCTTATGACTTCTTTTGTGTGGGAGTATTAGATTCTTAATGACTTTAAACCTAGGCTTATAGGCTGTGACCGCGGGGATGATCCGAAAGTTTCGAAACAATTTTTAGTGTGATCTGGAATATATTGTTGTTCCTGGTCTCTGAGATTTTATAGCGACATTATTTTATAGCGATATAAACAATCTCAAAACCAATCAAGAATCTAAAGAGATTACATTTAAAAAAGTTTCATAATATTAAGTTGTCATTAAATAGAACCTCATTGAATCTTGATACTGTGCTAACGTAAAGCCCAATCCAACAAATGGATATGGTGTGGTCGAATTCATGTTGATTCAGTTGATTGTTATTGATAGGAACTATTATTATGCTCAATAACTTTGACATGCTTACTAGCATATGGTAGACATCCATTATGAAAATTATCTTGTGAAAATTATACTTTTTTAACATTGCCTAGTAACAAGATATTGATTCTATTAAATACTATTTGGAGGGCTATGATTTATTTTTAAACATATTTAATCAATCTGGAATATTTTTAAACCTCTGTAATTAAAAAGATAATAATTTATAAACGTAAATACCTAGATGACATGACAATTAATTTGTTTGTTACACCATGTTGTGAAATACCTACATGCTATGTTGTATAATAGTTAACTGACTACTGTGACATTCTCTTAAATGTGACCTAAATATTGTGTTATATTTACATTATGATAGTACATTATTATATTGTCTACCCAGCATAGATCTTGCCATTATGGTACATTTAAATCAGACTATTAGTCAATAGCCTTTCTATATTCATTTCAAGACAAATCCTTTTTATTCTAAAACCAAAATAAAAATGTTCTACATGTTTAGAATCACTTCTGTTTAGAAAAAAAAAATTTAAGAAACAAAATAAATAATTTGAGAACAGAATGCTTTGCAATAAAATGTGTGCCTGCGATATCATAGTAGGTAACCAAAGTAGATGAGGTCCCATAGAACATACAATTTTGGATTATTACAATTATTAAAATGGTAAATGTGTATAGCTTATGTGTACAGTACTTGGGCAAAAAAAAACAGTTCCTCAAACATTTAAATTTAGTAAACCAATTATTAAAAATTATTTTTGTGTTGAAAGTAATTTTGGTTGTTATGCCAACCAAGGTGATGTTGGAAGACCAACAAACACATGCTTATTGTACCACATGGTTGGAGGGCATGTTGTGGGTATGATTACTTTGAAAGGCAATTAAAATGAATGACAGATAATGAAGGGTCTTTTTTATTTCTCAAGCACTTGAATGACTTTGATGTTTTAAAGTTTACTTAATATCTTGCACATACATATATACTTGCTCATCTTTTAAGAATTTATTAACTTGTAACAATATTAGAAAATAAAACTTGTCCAAGTAGGGAAAAGAGATGTGTTCATCTTCACAATTATTTCATAAATACAGTCAAAAACAAAAAACCTGCAATTGATAATACCATTAAATTTGTACCTTATCAACAGTTCATTAGCTTTAGAATCATTTGAATAATGTATTATTCACATTATTATGTGTATAGATATACTATTATATATGTAACCACTGCAAGTTTACACAGTGATTGTTTAACACTAGTTAAGTGATAAGGCAGAGTAGAAACAGCTATACTACTAAGGCATCACAAAAACAGGTTTTTATTCAAAGACATTATGTTATTATAGAAAATGGCTTGGGTCATGGTCATGTGGTTCCTCTCAGTGTTTTAATGAGTTCTTTTAATATTTGTTAGATTTATTATAAAAAAAAACCACTCATCTTTTTTATTTGTTTCAAAGTTCCATAAGGTAATATAGCTTAATAAATGTATGACATTGATTTTAACTATGAATAAAAAACAAAATGTTAAGAAGGCAAATGTTAAATAAAAATATGCATTGGTAGCATTTTTTTTATAACAATGATGTGGTTACTCATAATCTAAAATTGAGATATGTTTAAAACCTAGTTTTAGCTTGTTTATTAATAATTAGGTAATTACTGAATAGTTTCAAAGATACTTATAGATGTAATGAAGTGACAACTGAACCAATTGGGTTAAGTGATCTTATAAGACTGCAAGTGGAATTTAATATGTTACATAGCATTGAAAGTTTAGGTAAATCTGAAAACTTAAATATGAACATTTTATATTTACTTAAGTTCTTATTTAAAGAATAAAATTTTCATGGCCAAAATATAATATATAAATACCAAACATACTTTGAAAAAATGCAGTATGTTAATTCCTTGCACATAATAAAAATAAACGTTTAAAATAACTGAATTTGTATCGAAGTATTCATTTACATATTTTGCGGCTAAAATTTGGAGGTATGCATCTTATGCCTCGTATTTATTTTGTTTTTGTTATCGAAACTTTAATTCAAATTCTTGTTTCCCTATGAAAAATGACCTTTAAACATCGTTTTTAACAGGCCAAGATGCCGCAAAACTGGTTAATTTAATAGAAACCTAGCATCTCACATTTCAAAGTAGTTTTATGTAAGTAGGTAGTTAGACATCCGTAAATCCATGAGTTCATTTACCCAAGCCACTTTTAAAAAAGTAAACTATCATGGCCAAAGACCTACTTACCCAAAATTCAGATCCACAGAAGCTATCAAGCGTGGAATTGTAAGACATTGTCACAATTTGTGATTATTAGTTACTTGTAACTGCCATTAATTTACGGTGTAACTGACACTCTACCGACATGTATTTAATTGTTATTACGACTGGTAACAAATAAGTAACTACAATTTAAAAAAGAATCATTCACTCTAAGTACTTTTATTAGTTACAAAAATTCGATAAAATTTTCAACATTACACACTACACCACACCGCACCGCACCGCGCACCATAGACGGAATAAAATGTCAGCAGCAAATGGACTATAGATAAAGATGATCGGACATAAATACTTTTTAAATTATTTTTTTAGGTTTGACACCAAGTGTTTTGTCTTATATAGCGCTGATAACATGGTTGATTGCCATGATGATGTTAAACTGGGTGTTACAATAAGCACAAAAATTTCTGAGTACGAATTGGTTAATATTTAATCAAATAAATGATTATTTCATTAATGTTGGAGCCTCACTGGCTGATAGAATTTCCCAAAAAACTAACACAGCGACTACTGATTTTCAGAATTATCTAGGTGAACTTAGCGTCATCAGCAAAGCAATTCTTTTGTTTTGTTGGACACTGATGAGCATGAAGCGGAATAAATAATAAATAGTCTAAAATCAGATCACGCATCGGGATGCGATAAGATTAGTGGAAAATTTCTAAAAATGCCTAAAAATATTCTTATACCCCCTATTACGAAAGTAATAAATGATAGCTTACGGTCGGGTATATTTCCTGATTCTTTGTAGAAATCTGAAGTTTGACCAATATATAAGAGCGGGGACAAAAATCAAATCAAAAACTATAGACCAATGCAATATCCATACTACCGGCGATATCGAAAATATAGGAAAAATTCATTAACATTCGCTTGGTGAAATATTTAGAAAAAAATAATCTACTGTCTAAAAATCAATATGTTTTTTGTCAGGGTAAATCTACGGAAAAAGCAGTGAATAAACTCACCACCTTTATTAGCACTAACCTAGACGGAGGAAAAAAATGTCTTTCAATATTTCTCGATCTCGCGAAGGCCATTGATACGATTTCTGTCACCCTCTTATTGGATAAGCTCGAGAAGATAGGAGTAGAGCTTGAGTTATTTAAAAGTTACTTGACTGGGCGATATCAGTGCATCCGTGTTGGCAAACACATACCTTCCAGTGACTCACGGCGTACCTCAAGGCAGTATCTTAGGTCCCACCTTATTTCTCGTTTATATTAACGAACTTACAAGCCTTAAGCTCACCCATGGCGAAATCATATCCTTCGCAGATGACACTGCTTTAGTTTTTGCCGCCAATACCTTGGATGAGGTATTTGATGCTGCTTAGCAGGGCTATAATGTAACAAGACGCTGGCTCCAGGCAAACATTCTGACTTTAAATATTGAAAAAACTAAGTATATTTCTTTCTCCATCAAAAAATTATCTAACTTCAGTAATACCCATAATATTATCTCCCATGAGTGTAGCCTGGTAGCCGACTGTGCTTGTCAGCCACTGGAAGGTGGGCAGACCATCGTCTATTTAGGTGTCACTATAGATAGAAATCTTAATTTCAAAGAATACATAAAGCGACTTAGTGCACGAGTGCGTAAACTCATATTTGTTTTCAGAAATATGCGACATGCTGCTGAGTCCCATCTCCTAAAACAAATTTATTATGCACTAGCCCAGCCTTTACTTTCGTACTGTATTTCATCTTGGGGAGGTACTTGTAAGACCACTATGAAGACGATAGAAATAGCTCAGCGTGCAATACTAAAGGTCTGTGTCTTTAAACCAATTCTTTTTCCAACAATCTCTCACTATCAGATTTGCGGGGTTATGACTGTCAGGCAACTTTTCATACTAAACATTATTCTGAAACAACATGCAAAACTTCCTTATGTCCCACGTCCTCATAAACGAAGAAATAATAAAGTAGATAATACGGAACGGACTATTTGTAATACAAAATTTAGTGAAAGATTTATTGAATTTCTCGGTCCATTTCTCTATAGTAAAATTAACAAACAACTAAATATTTTCCCGCTCACAAGAACAAAATGTAAACATATAGGTAGTAAGTGAATATTTGCAACAGCTCAATTAAGAAGAAACGGAATCATTGCTTCTGGTTGTACAGTAATAATAATGTTAATTTAAAATCACCTAAAATAATTTTACATAACTGCATCACGCTCATTCACTCACAATCACACACACCCACACTTACATTCATACACACTCATCCACACACTCACAATACAAACCCACAGGTCCTCATACATAACCCACTTATTACACCCACAAATACCCAAATACTCATAACCAGTTCACATAGGTACTTACTTGCTGTAATATAGGCTAGATTATAAACTTAAAAAAAGTAATAAATTTAATAAGAAACACCATATGTAGTACCTAAGTACTTACAACTACATTATGCAAATTAATTTGTAATTTGTAGTACCTACAAATGACAACACTTGCTTTGTTGGCTTTTTGTGTGTGACTCAGGTTGGCTGGGCAAATCTTCAAAAGTGACCTATTGACCTAATTAAATGCAAGCTATTTTGAAGATTTGTCCTGCCAACCTGAGTCACATCTTTTTGTTATTGTACCTATAATATTGAGGGAAAAGGTACCTACTGTAAACCAAAATACAGGCATTGCCTAGTTCGGTTGCAGTGACTAGATTTTTATTTTTTATTTTTGGTGTCGGTTTGGAAAATCCTCATGGAGACCCACCGCCCTCGGGTAAGGGCGAAGGTACTGTCAGACTCTTACTCTCTTACTCTTACCAACCCAGTGTTCCTCCAATAACCCATGTGTCGGGGGGGCGGGTATCGCCGAAGAATTCGTCGCAACCCCCCGACAGGTATTGGCCCGCCAGATGGTAAGGCGGGCCCCGTCACCCACTGCGGCCGTCACCCCGACCGCAGGACTCCACTATGAGGCGCGCGCGGAACACGGCGCCACCGCCTCGAGGCCTGCTGCTGTGGCCGCAGGTCGGCCACCCTACGACGTCTAGTGCGTCTGCTGCGGGAGGGGAGAGAGGAGGCAGCCTCTCTCTCCCTTTCCGCCGCCTCCTTTGCGAGCATCACGGTCTCGCAGAAGGTAGCGACGGTACTCCACCCTGACTCGCTCCCGACCATAGTAGACCCTACAGCCGGAAGCGAGAGATTTCCCGCAGCACCTACGGCCGCGACCAGGTCACGACGCTGCTCGGCCCAAGCTGGGCACTCCGCCAAGGTATGCAGCGCCGTATCGTCGCGGCAATCACCACAATGGTGGCACTGAGACGTCGGCTCCCGACCTATGCGACACAGGTACTTCCCGAAACACCCGTGTCCGGTAAGCACGGTTTGATAAAAAACGCTTCATTTATTACATGAAAAGAGCAATTACATTGGCAAGAATTAGGTAATACTTCGCGGGCTGTGTAGGTACCTTGAACTATCTACAGCGGATGGAAAAATGACAGGTATGAAAAATAAAACTTTAAGATTAATGTTTAATGGTAAACAATCGGAGCCGCCCATGGACACAACAACAGCTACGAGTTACGAGTGCGTTGCAGACCTTTTGGGGATTAGGGATTTAGAGATTTAGGGATCAGAGAGGTATTAGGGGAAGGTAAGGATCGGTTCCAGTCGGCGATAACCTCACTAACACGACGAAACACAACAACGCTATGGTGGTATGAAAAAGACGTGTTGTGTTTTTCTGTTGGGTATCACTCTGATCGAGCCGACCAATTCATACCGAAGCATGGCTCTCCCATCCCGTTTTAGAGAATAAAAACCGGCCAAGAACGTACTACGCTCAGTGCAGGATCCCGTAGCTCCCCGTCTGTCATAATGAGTACCAATATAAATATAAGTACCTATAAATGAGTTTAAATTATTGTAAATCGTAAAACCGCAATTCAGGGTAAATAGTAAAAGTACAGCGTCGTCTCTTAGGGAATAAGGTTACTAATTAATACAAACTAGATGGGTTGGTAATTTTGGATTCCGTAAACCGATGTTGATAATTCTATTTTTATTTGAAAGAATATGTATACGTTCCGAATAATAAAACATATAAACAAAGTAAAAAATGCTTGCATACTTAGACCGTTAAATTACAAAATGTATCTACAATATTTCAAAAATTGTTCAACTTGTCGAGTTCAAAATAATTTTCCTACAAAGAATGTTCAGAGTTCTACTTTCAAGATTTTTTAACCGTATGGTTCATAAGTCAAAAAAAGGTTCCCCTTTTTTAACTTTTGGAGCGATTATTTCTTAAAATATTAACATACTTAATCAAAAAATTATCTTTTCAAATCCCTATAAATACCTATCCAACAATATAATCACACGTTAGGGTTGAAATGAAAAGAAAATCACTAGTTTCCTACTTTACGAGTAGGGGGCGGGGGAGGGGGGAGTACCCTGATATTTATTTGACCACTTTGTCGGCGTGATTGATATACATATTGGTGCCTAATTTTAAATTTCTAGTGCTAACCGTCACTAAGATTATCCACAGACCCACAGACGGACAGACAGACAGACAGACATGGCGATACTATACTCGGAATTTTAATTCCATTCCAGATTTGACAATTTCAGTGTTGCAACGTTATGACACGTAATAAATAGTGACGTTGCGAAATTATTCGATATGGAAATCGAATATTTCTGAATCGATTCCTCTCGTTTATAAATTTACTCTCGTAAACTAAGTTTATCAGGAAATAAAATATTTCTGAACCGATAATTTAGTTTTGACAATTAATTAACGATCTGAGACTTTTCTTTTGTAATTTTGTGTGAAATTAATAAAAAATGCGATCATGAAGGAACGTGACAAATAAAACAGACATTTTATAAATTGTCGCCGTCATCGCTATCGCTATCGCCGTTACTCTATGTAACATTTATTATGAATTGTGTCTGTGATATTTATTGTCAATTAACATATCTAGCTTACTAATTTTTTCCTCCTCTTTGAAAACATGGGATACACATTTAGA